CGGCCTTCTTTATTAAGGCCTCTAAGATTCCATAGAGAACCTATCATTGCTCAACCTAAATGGACTCTTATCGCAGCTTTTAGAAGCTACTTGCACCCAAGACTGTTCCCTCAAATCTAACTGATCCTTTAAAGGAGGGTCAGTATCAGAAATCAGTGGAGGGAAATCCTCACAACTTAAAACACTATCAAGGTTTGCAGGTAAAGTAGTCTTAGGATTACTTTCCTCAAACTCCCTTCTATTAGATAATTCCTTCTGCTTCAATAACTCTATCTTTTCTAATTGATTACAGGTATTAGTACCCAAAGATATATTAGCAATATTAGCTTTTTCAAGTAAACTTGTACTGCTTTCAAAAGCAAAAGAAGATTTGTGTTTAGTACCTGTCTCCAGATTCTTAATTTTCTTAAATTCCTGAGTCTTCTCCAGCATAGTGCGCCCATTCTCCGGCTGTCTTCTGGATCTGGGGAACCTAAGAGTTGGACCCCACTTGTTTTTCCTTTTATGGCCCTTGTTGATCAGCTGCTCCTCAATGATTAGAGCTTCCCTGTTCAACTATGTCTGAATAAATCCCTCTTCTTGTAGACTAGATAATTCTTCACCTTCATCCATATGTTCAGTATCACTTGCTTCCCCTCAGAAATTTCTAGCTCCATTCTTCTTAACAGAGATGAGCATTCCTCAGTTGCAATATCCTGCTTAGCCATTATTCTAAATTCCTCCCACTTGGAATGATGTGATTCCTCATTCAGCAAACTAAGAAGCTTGTTGCCAACTATCTTACAATCCGAATCCTTCACCTGGTTAGTTACCGGTATTTCATATTTATCCATCTCAGCGCATCCCTCAAGGGTACTCTGAAACTTTTCATTATCATAGCTCTTCACACCAGAACATCCCTCAAGGGAGCTCTGAAACTTTCCTCCAAAAGACTGAGTTGTATTCACATAACCCAATTCTTTCTGTAGACTGTTCTTCCGTAAAGAAGTATGTCCGTCCTTCCGATTCAGGCATGAATCTTCCATCTGAGTTACATCAATGTAACTCAGCTGCAATACCATTAGTTCATCCTGAGCAGTCAACTGCTTAGCTTGTTCCGACATCATCTGCACCATAATAGAACCCTGATTCATTATGTCCTCTGTCATCAACTCCATATTTACTGTCTTGCTTCCTATACTCTTAGGCATAGAAGTTTTTGGCGTCTGTTGTTTTGTGTCTTCAGCAGGCTTGGACAGATGGTTCATCTCATCATCAGAATCGTACAAGTCATATGTCTCATCATCATTACCAAGATTTCCTTTATCATCGCCCCCACCATCATCATTACCCTTTTCATCAGCAGCTTTACAGACATCAGCTTCATTTTCCAATGTCAGCTCAATAACATACAGCTTCATCCCCATCTCGTATAACCTTTGTCTAGGAATTTTCTTCCCATTCCTACATGCCACTTTAACTCTGACAACCTCATAAAAGGTCTTGAACACTATGGACCAGTCAACCTCAGTCAGTAAGCCAAACCTAGAAGCTATTTGAGCAAAAACTTTCCAATGGCAATATCTAGGTGGTATGCCTCTTATCTCAACCCATACCTCCTCCAATTCCTGTGGGGTTCCAGATCTCCAATCCATTCAAGCACCTCCACTTGAACCCCATCCTTCCTCAAATTGAAGGAAGGGTAATTTTTGATGTCACTAACCCTCTTATGAGGAGGAAATCTCACCAAAAATCTCTTAGGTTCCAATTCTCTGATTTGCCAAGGCCAATCCTTACTGTATATGTCAGATAACTCCGCTTCCAATTCAGCCAAGGTAATCTGACCATTCTTAACTCTAACCACTCCACAGTTAGTTAGGTTCAGCCATTGAGTAGATTCCACACTTGGCACCTCTAAGTGATAAAAACCAAGTCCCGGACTAGAACTACCCACATACGCTGCAACAGGGTGATCTGATTTCCACTTTGGACAAACATTCATATGATGCCCAGGAACTCCACAGATAAAGCAGACCTTAGGGCGAGTACAATTACCCACAAAGTGACCAGGCTCTCCACAGTTATAGCAAGTAAGCTTCCTATATATGGGATCTATGATGAAAGGCGGATCAGGAATCTAAGTACCTTGCCCCCGCCCTTGTGCAGGTGTTCTCCGAGGTGGAGGTTGCTGTGGTTGTCGCAGTTGTAGAGGCGGCGGTTGCTGTTGTTGCGGACGGGGCAGTGGAGGTGGGCGACTAGCACCTTGCTGCCTCCAGCTGAGGTCCTGCCACCCCTGCTGGGTCAGAACCCTATGGTTCTGCGGTGGCGGTGGAGGACGAGCCAGCCTTTGAGGGGGCGGACGCCGCGGCTCAGGCTGCCATACCCATCTTCCACCGTCCTCCATCTTCTCCTTCTGAGCACCTCAGCAAAAGTCTCCTTCTCACCCCTCTCCCCCAGATGTCCCTTGCGAAGTTGACCTTCACAGGCGGCTTCACCAGCCGATCCGATTTCTGCATCGGGTAGCAATCCTTTGACGAGAACCTCCGCGATTCCACCAAATCTCGCTGGATCCAGAACAAGCTGTCGGCACTCAGGAGTTTGGTGGAGGGGGCTAGTGGTCTAGGGTTACGGTGAGGCGGCGGGGAATCGATGGCCCAGAGTTGGCCGAAGAACTCGACCACCACCTCGTCCTCGTGCAGCTTATCCTCCAGATCCAACTGCTCCCCTGATGAGTCACGATCCCCTCTCTTCCCACTGAGTTGTGGGGCAGAGGACTTCCTCCTCTGGCTTGCGGACCCGGCCTTATTGCGGGGCCGCGTCGTCATCCATAGAGGGTAAGGCCATGGCGGTGGATCGAGCTCGAGCCCTGTGCGCCCCCGCGTGGCAGTCTCTAGAGACGAGGCCATCCCCTAAAATGACATTTATTACAGACGAGATAGATCAGAACACTGACAACTGCTAACATTGATTTTATTTTGATAACTGCTGATTAAGGTAACATCTTCTCGTTTGTTAGCATTTTATTTTGACAAGTGCTGATTGAGGTACGTATATCAGTAATTAGTGGCCATGTTCAAAACGAAAAAAAGTAAGAAAAGAGGATGCTAATAATGGGTGGACGATTTTTTTGGATAAAGAAGTAATATATGTGAATGTTTATGACACACAAACAATACATCATGGCTCATGGCTAGCTAGCTTCTGTTTATTTGACACGGTCGGAGGGACGCTAGCTGACGCTGACTCAGGCAGAGGAGCTCTTCGACTTCGAGCCTCGAGCGCATCTGAAATGCTGGCCTCGATGACTTCATCTACCAGGACCTGACCTCACAGACTACTATGCGTCGTGTCGTGTCGTGTCGTGTCGGACTACAACAACCAGTTCCCGCACAAGACGTTCGTGAAGCCGTCGGCTATATATTTAAGACACCCGCCTCTGCATAAACTTGTAATACGTTCACTCTCAAAGAAGTAGTGAAGGAAACGGAGCAGCTTTTCGCCCATCCCTCCCCCTCTGCTCTCCATCTCCTGCTTGTGGAGCCCAGACCGGCAAGGCCATGGTCGTCAGAGTGCCCACGAGCCGTCGTGCATTCCGGGGCGAACTCATGTGGCACAGTCGTCGGCTCCGACCTCCGGGGGTTAGGGCGGCCACCCAGATACCACTGAACCAGCGCGAGTACCCCTACCCTACCCCGAAGCACTTGTGTGCGCCATCTGAAGCAGCGCCGAGACGCCAGGCATGAGGTTTTCATTTGTGTGCGCGATGTAATGTTTATTATTATTTTTATTTTTTTGGCCCAGGTCCTGATTCGCCCAATAGGCCAAGTGCTCTCGATCCCTCTCTCACCGCTTCGAGCTGCGCCTGCCGGCAGGCCCCCTGGATGTGCAAGATGGTGACTTCAACTTGCCTCATGTTCCCATGGAGAGGAAGGAGAGGAGCAAGGGGCGGTAGGGATTGGAGTTGCAGGATCGCTGCTGCCGGCGCCGGTGGCTAGGGATGGATGAAGAGCAACAGCGACGGCCCGAGATCGTGGTGTACCTCTCCGCAACAAGACAAAAACAACCAGTAACCACTACCACAGAAGAGCTAACTGGGGATTGCCATCAACTGACCAGATTCTGCCTACTGTTGTTGAAACTTCATCCAGTCATGCGTGGCTAGATTGCAAGGTTAGTCAGAAGGATTTGAACAAAGTCCTGGGGTTCTTAGCCAACAAGAATGGCGCCAGATCGGCAGGTCGCTCAACATCTGTCACCTGCTGCACAGGAACAGGGCCACCAACGGCTGCCTGGGCTGATAATGAAGCCAAGTATTGCAACTTTTCTTTACCTCCAAAGCTTGGGCTTGGGTCAAACCAAGAGAAACAAAGCATTTTACTATCAGAACATTGGAGGCACAGAGGACGAACAAGCTCACTGGCTGTCTGCATTTTATTCATGGCTCAACACATACAACAATGTGTTTTCACATATTTATAGACTACATGACTAGTATCATGTCTATTTCTTCGTGCACATTGGTAAATTATACTGAAAGGGAAAGAACAGAAAGAGAAAATGACACTGGGTTGAAGTTGATGTGAGCATCTTGCAGGGAATTTCTGGGGCCATGTCGTAATCTTGCCTTGGGGTATAATGTCATATAGCTCACAACCACACGACTCACCTTATAAAACCTGATCCATCATGGGCATTTTTGTGCTTATTGGCATACCGCACGAAGCTAGGTGGAAGGAGACACATTTACAAAGGCTTTATTATATGCCGACAACATCAAGAATTGTATAGTAGGATTTATCAGTTTTACAGTTCTAAGCTGAGTACTGATTGTCAACACTTTCAAAAGTAACACTATTGCACCCTCGCATTTATATATGGGAGATATTATATACTGATATATCCTCCCTTTGGGGCTATTATTCAATACAGGTGCTTTTATTATATCTTCCACTATACAGTACGTACACACATTGAAATGCTTGACACAACATAGATGAACTTACACTTATCCATCGATTGTTTTATTCACGTGTATGTGCATGAGAAGGTGAGACAAAAGGTGGTTTGTGGAGAGCCAATTTTTGATAGACATCCTGCATTTCTGGCCTGAACTGAGGAGAAGTTTGCAGGCAAGCAAATGCAACTTCGACAAGCAAAGAGATTTCTTTCTTCTCCACCGTTGTTGGTGATGGCAACCGTTGGTCCAACATATCCTCTATTGCAAGTTCATGATGTTGTTCCAGGGAAGCAATGGACTGTAGCTCTCTGGGGCATCTCCCCATCACAATCTCCAGCACTACGACACCAAAACTATAGACATCACATTTTGTTGTCACCACTGATGTGTAAGAAAGCTCTGCATCAAAATAAAGCAACTGACAACAGTCAAACATGGTGACAAACCAAAGTGAAATTTTCATATTTGCAAATGGTCACATGAATATATTTGCTATATGCAAGAAAAAGCTAACTGACTACATACCAGGTGCTATATATCCATATGTTCCAGCTAGTTCGCTCCAGTTGGATGAATCAGGTTTGAGCATCCTTGCTATTCCAAAATCTGAAACATAAGCCTTGAAAGCTGCATCCAGCAAGATGTTGTTGCTTGTTATATCACGATGGATTATCGGTGGGTTGCATTCATGGTGCAAGTAGTAGATAGCTTGAGCCACATCTCTTGCAGTGGCAACTCGCTTCTGCCAGTCCAACTCCTTTGCAAGATCCTCAGTTTCCAAGATAATGTGAAGGTTTCCTCTCTCAATGTAATCGTACACTAAAAATTTGTACCTTGGATGGGAGCAAAATCCATACAACTTGACAATGCTTCTATGCCGTATCTTTGTCAGCACTTCAATTTCACTAAAGAATCTCTTCTCATCACTAATCCCTTCTTCAGTTGGGTGAAGCTTTTTCACCGCAACTAATCTCCCTCCTTGAAGCTGTGCCTTGTAGACAGTGCCAAACCCCCCTAATCCAATGATGTACCTATCACTGAAATTTTCTGTTACCCTAGTGATGTCCTCAAAGACTAGTTTCCCATCAAAATTCCACACCGAGAGAACATCTCTGGTATCTGTAACTGCTGTAATTTGTGGTCTTTTCCTTTTGCGAAGGATCATAACTAAGACAAAAATTGAGAGAATAATAACTATGCACACTGGAATAAAAGCAACTAGGACCAAGTGGTGAATTCTAGCTTTGTGAAATTCCTTTATTGGAGTTGAAGAGCATTCCGGCAGGCCTGAGATATTACCACAGAGGCCTTTGTTGTGGAGGAACCATTTTGCAAAAGCATTTTGGAACAGTCCTCCTGCTGGAAGAGAACCTTCCAAGTCATTGTATGACACATCAAGTGTTGACAGACTAGCCATGCTACCAATCGAGGAAGGAATGCTTCCACTGAATTGATTATGGAAAGGTTTAGGACCTCCAACATCACCAAGTTCCCAAGTTCGGAGGTAGCTTGCCTGTGAGTTTGTTGTTGCTTACATCCAACAACAATTGTAGCTCTCCTAGACTACCAATAGTAGTTGGCAGATGTCCCGTCAAGTTGTTGTCATTTATTCTTAAGTATATTAGCTTAGTACAGCTCCCGAGCTCTTGTGGTACTGATCCACTCAACTTATTTGCAGATATATCGAGGTATTGCAAATTTTTCATCCGACCAAATTCAGGTGGTATATTACCTGAAATTTTGTTTTGCGATAACTTGAGCAAGTGCAGGTTGGCAAGATTGCTTAATTCTTTTGGTATACTGCCAATTAGGTTGTTGGCATGTACGGTAAGTACCTCCAATTTTTCAAGGTTTGAAAGCACAGGAGGCAATCTTCCGGTTATCATGTTTTCTTCCATAGCAAAAATGGTCAAATTGATGTTTGAAGCCCAAGTTTTGGACAAATACCCAGAAAAGTTGTTTCTGCCCAAGTTTGCTATGACAAGTCGTGGGTATGGCCCAAACGATGATATATCTCCTGTCATTTTGTTGGAACTAAGGTCAAGAATCTCTAGGCTCCTACATGTTTCAAGGCTTCTAGGAATCGGGCCAGTGAACATGTTGTTGCTTACATTGAACCACTGAAGATTCCTTCCTTGGCATACATTGGAGGGCAGTTCCCCTGACAGAGAGTTGTTTGCCAAATTGATATCTATTAAGTATGTCAAATTAGTGAACTCTCGTGGCAAAGGACCTGACAGCTTGTTCGAGAAAAGATGTAGGTCTCTTATGCTTGTGAGGTTCGTGAAAGTTGCCGGGATGGAGCCTGAAATCTTGTTTTGGGATAAAGACAAGGTGTGGAGATGCACCAAAGCGCCAATCTCTGCGGGGATGGAACCGATGAATGGGTTGTTGTTACCGAGGTGAAGGAAGTTTAGCGTAGTAAGGTTCCCCAAGCATGGAGGAATGGAGCCGCTTAGCAGGTTAGTATTCAAATCTAGGTAGCTTAGATTGGAAGGCAAACAAATCTCGTGTGGAATGGGCCCTGAAAGATTGTTAAAACCAAGGTGGAGGATGTTTAGTTTGGTCAAGTTGCCAAGGATTTTAGGTATTTGACCGCTTAGAGCATTTTTGCTTAGGTCCAAAAGTTGTAGACTGGCGAGGTTCCCAAGCTCCTCGGGGATTGGCCCGGTGAGCAGGTTTTTTCCGGTGGAGAGAGAAACTAGTGTCGTTAGGTTCCCAAGGGATGCAGGGATACAACCTGTGAGGTTGTTGAAGGCGAATCCTAGCTGGTTAAGGCGTGGCATGTTGCCGAACTCAGATGGTATGCTTCCATTCAGCCAGTTGGCGCCGAGATCGAGGTAGGAGAGTGCAGGTAGGGAGGTGATGGACAGCGGGATCTCTCCATGGAGACTATTGTAGGTGAGGTCAATGTATGTGAGGAACGGGAGCGCCGAGAAGTTGAGCTCACCGAGGTAGCCGTTGAGGCCGGCGTTTGGCAGGGAGATCTCGGTCACCGCAAGGGGCGCACGGCGGCCACGCTGCACGGCGGCGCACGCCACACCCGTCCAGTTGCTGCTGCACGGGCTGGTCCCCTGCTGCCACGAGTCCAGCGCCGGCGGCGAGTGCCGCAGGGTGGACTTCCACTGGAGGAGGGTGGCTGTCTGGGACCCCAGATGCACGCCTCCATGGTGCCCTGCTGCGTCTACGTGCCGGAACAGAAGGCACGAACGGAGCAACACGAGTATTATTAGCTCTATCATCGCCATATGTGTATGTGCGTGGTTTTCTTCCTTCTTTTGGGGCTACGGTGTGCTGCATGCATGAGCTGAAGGTAGTACGTATTCAGCTTTGCTGGAGAGTGATGTATATATAGTGTTTGATTTTGGGGCTATGGTGTACTACTTTAGTCTATTCCATGCCACACACAGATCGATTAATATACTACTAGCGGGTCAGCCGGTGGCGAGTGATGTATATATAGTTTTGATTAGTTTATGCTTATGCACGCGCTGGGCTTCAGAAGAAGCTTCCATTCCAGTACAGTCCCAGAGTCCCAGAGCCCCCTTCCTTGCGCTCCCACGGGCTTTGCGCGCGGTCGTCTCTTTGGCACCGCACCCCCACACATGCTGAGACTGAGACGGACGGTGCATCTCGTTGGCAACTCACCATTCATAAACATTAGCCGCCAGGGAACCTTGCCACATGCTGAGACTGATGATCCGGAAGGCCACTACACCCATTCCTGGTCTGTCTCCTCACCTACCATTCATAAGCCACCAAGGAACCTTCCCAATGTCAACTTTGTCGCATTGCCCCAAGCCTCCACCCATCCCTGAATCGCACATGCGATTGCCGTCTCCGTGGATTTACCCGATTTGTGTTGTGGGTGAGGAAGGAACTGGTGGTGCTGGATCTTTGATTGGGAAATGTGGGTGTGGTCTGCTACTCAGGGCGTCGATTGCAGCTTGGTGTGTGGGTAGCACTAGGGCACGATGGCCGCTGGCGGCGGCACCGGCGTCAGGTTAGGGATAGAAGTTAAAGTAAATTCGGTGAGGGTAAACGGACAAATACAAATTCACAATGGCTCAAGCATCAGGCGCGAGAGGCGTGTGAAGCCAGGAAGCCACAATAGCTACGCCTGAAGCAAGCAGACCTGGAGGTCTAGACTTTGTGGTACTATATTGTTACATAACTAGATATGTGCCCGTGCGTTTCATGGGGTTACGAATTTTTCGCACGCCTGTAACAACCTATGCATATTTTCTTTGTTTAATTAATATACTCGTATGATTTATTATTATGCATTTTAAAAGTTTAAGTTGTTTCGATCATTTTAGAAAATAATAGAAAACTACAATCATAAGGGCATTGCATTTTTTGGCATGTGTGATACATACATCACAAGCAATTTGGATGTAACATGCAGCTGTTTATCCTTGGGACGTGTTGAAAAAAATACATGAAAAGTATTGAGTTGCTTTGGGCTAATCCGTATTTGTTTTGAGCCGGAGACCGATCCGTATTTGTTTTGAGTCGGCACACCAATTGGAGCGCACACACGAAGTCCTATGTGCACGAAACCTAGGCCTAATCCTATACATGTATGTATCGGACTTGGACGTCTATGTACTTGGAGTCTGAGCAGGCGCATACGTCGTGGGTGGGAGCGCGCGCACCAAGCTGGTTGTGGACGAAAGCCTTACATATTTTTTAGATGGTAGGTAATAGATTAGGAGAGGCAAGGGGGAAAAAATAGGTGAGGCCCGTCCTCACCTGAATGTCGTGCGGACATGCTGCTGATTCACAACACGTGGACTGCAGCAGCATCCCAGACGCACGTACCCAGGAGATCCGAAGATTTTTCGCTTGAGCAGGCCATGGTGTCAGTGTCACATCCCCACGGTGTCCGCGTGAGGTTGGTCCGCACCTAATTTTTTTCCCGAGGCAAGGCCCTTCGAGCGTCTAAACTGCTGCGGTCCAATAGTTGCCCATCACCATGATGACCTCGCAAAACGACTACATTGCGCCTCGCGCAGCTATTTAGCATGCGCATATTCCACAGTATGAGATGTAAAGGACTCGTGGGCGCACACGTCACTATACCACAGCCCAAACTGGTGTCCAACAAAGGGTTGCTAAAAATATCGAAATAGCGTTGGACGGTCGGTCGGTATAGATTAGTGGCAAACGGTCGGACACTATATCTTAATATTACGTTCGAAGGTTGGTCGCTATTTTTATTTTGGTTCAGCGTCATGCGGTCGGTCGGTATAACCGATTAACTAGGTCGGTATATTGAATTGGGCCTGCGCGCCCATGATTAGCCCGTTTGACGCCTAAAATTTGGAAGGCTCACACGTCAGAGCAAATTAAGCAATTAAATAATTAAAAAAAAGAAATTAAAAAGAAAATGCCACTCACACAACACGCCCCACGCCAAACGCACACACACCAACAGACACGCACGCACCACGCCCCTGCACCTTATCTCGTCCCCTGCTCCTGTGCATTCCTCGTTATCTCTCTCTCTCTCTTGGTCTTCTCTCTCGCGGGCTCCCTCTCTCTTGAGTCTTACGCCGACGCCGCTCCCCCAGGCTTCCTGCTGCTCCTCCCATGGCGACTTCCCCTGCTCCCAGCTTCTCCTCGTGTAGCACCGGTGCGTCCCCCCTCCCCCTCCCCCCTCTTCCTCCCCGCGTCGTGCGCCCTCACATTAGGCAGGCTGCCATGCCCTAGCCGGCTCCGCTGGCCATGCCGGCCGCCGCCGCCGCCCAAGAATAGAAGATGGATGGGCACACCGCCAAGCTGCCGGCCAGTCCGGTCCTTGCGGCGCTACTTCTGACATTGCATGGCCATGCCGCCGCCGAGCCCCAGCCGGCTGGGCACCCCGCCAGGTATGGACGTCCATGCTGCCCCCTTCCCCTCGCTGTCGTGCTCTTCCAACAACTACAGATCTAGATCGGGGATGCATCGCTGTGGGTGAGCTCCTTCCCCCGATGGTTTTGTGCCTGTCTTGTTATGTGCTGCAAAATGGGGATCTAGGGTTAGGTTAGGGTTGCCCCTCGGGTAATTTCTATGCTCATAATTGCCGGGGTGACGTAGTAGTAGTGTTGATTTGAGTAAAAACCGCGTTGTTCCGCTTATATCATTGTCGTGCTTGTGCGTTCTGAATTTCTGGGCAGAGCTTACATATAGTTTCGATAGTCGTGAAGGAATTTGGTTAGTTTGATGTGACACTCTTATGTATGCCAATAAAATGTTGCCTCTTCTAGAGGACACATCTTGTTAACTGATGAACTAGCTCCTGTTGATAACTACTAAGTGGTAGACAATTACATAAGGTTTCCAAATTACTAAAGAACATAAATTTTTGTGAATGAACTAGAACTCTAGCTATGATTTATTTAAGTAACTGTACTGGTGCTGTCCAGTGTTTTCAGATATTGGTTAGCATGGTACAGTAATCTTTATATATGGGTTGCACTTATTTCAGCTTATGTACTTGTACCAATCAGCCATGTAGTGAGGAAATTTACTATGACTTGGCGACTTGCTATACCTTTCAAGTTGAGCAGGATATTAGCACAATGATATTAGGTCTTGATTGCCATACCATTCAAGTTCCAGCTGTAACTAGCAGTAGTACCATTTGTATATTTAGTGAAAGTTAATATTTTCAGAAGATGCAAACCGATACCAAGATCTGACTCTTCTATGTTTCATATATATTTGTTGTCCATAACATTGCATTGTATCACAGATTGAACCGTATATTCAAGGGCAGTCCGGACTCCAAAGATTTAATTAATTGTTAAAGCATACACAATGCTAGTGAGTTTCAATTTCTTCCAATCTTGCACACATTCTCAGTTTTACATATTATACAACTTTATTTAATAAATTTATTCCCAGTGAAATGTGTCTTTAGTGAACAAATTACCCTCTGAATATATACACAAGATCTAATCCTAAGGTGTTGCAATGATGCAAGATTCGTATTTTACTTGATAGTTGTATTTGTAAAGATTTTTTTTTTACTTCAGTACTTTTGTTTTCACCATGTGGCTAAACCACTTTCACTACATGCATTTTTTCCGCTGAAAGGACTTGTGGCACTTATCCATGGACTTTCAAATAATATCTCTTATTTGCAGGCCTTTCTCATTTTTTTTATCTTATTTGGTATACTCTCTCACTATTGCAGCCAATTCTACCATGCTAATTACCCATTGCCTGACAATTAGCTGCATGGATTAGCAGCACCTTAGACTGCATATTCTTATTCCTTTTGCTCTCCAGTGCAGACAATATTTTAAATCTGAACATTTTGGTTCTAAAGATAGGCTTTAGTGTACTATCTTGTTGAAGTTTTCTAAACTACAGTTAGATAGTAAGGAGCTTACTATTATGCATACAGGAAACAATGCCAATTATCTTGAAGCATGTAGATCTATCTTGACTTAAATTTTATTCCTTTGGTTAAGCTACTGTGGACTTCTGCTTTGGATAAGTGTCTTAATTTTCTCAGTTTCCCACAAAGCTTAGCATTGATCAAACCTATGTATTCCTTTGGTTGCGGCTACAAAGCTTACTATAATTTGGAAAAATCATATAATACATCTATGAAGGAAAGTGTAAAATTACAATTGCATGTACAAATTTGAAAGAAAGGAAACCATATGATCTGATCTAGTTTTATTTGTTTGGCAACAAAGAGGTAGCAGTATTTCTGGAAGAACTGATGGATGTAATCTTTTATTTGCAGGTGGGAGGTAATGGCTAGGGGGGCTGATGCATGCAGGAAGCAATTGGATGGAATTTCGCATGGCCAATGCATTATTTTGGACATTCTAACTAGATATGAATGCTTTTGGACATTCTAACTAGAGATGAATGCTTTTGTTTAAGTGATGAATTGTAATGAGTGCGAGCAAACCATGAGATGTAAACTGTGCAACTAGTGCAAACATCTATATATGAGCTATGCATTATTCTATCTTGATGGCCAAACTGCCTTATGTAACTTGTTTCTCCAAGTTGAGCTTATGGATATGATATAATGATATAATTGTGAGCTATGATGAGCTTCATTGTCATAATTGTGTATATTGTCCAAAATGGAATTGATGATTTTATATATGGTTCATTGATTGTATGATTAGTACTGATACTGAGGTTAATGAATAATTATGCTGTTAATTTTTTGTATTGATAGTGTCAGATGGTTGGACGCTATATAATATATGGCGTCTAACCAATAGTCGCTATA